TTGACCGTAGTGGCGGTTAAAGAGTTAACACTATAGATAACAAGCGAATATCACTGTATTCTTGAAAACCATCCCGGCGTAATTTTTTTCCCCAAAAAATCTAGGAAGCCAATCAAATCTGCACCATATTTCGGGTTTGCCATTCCGTGGCGCCCGCTTTTGCGAATTTACAATTTTTTTAAGGTAGACATTTTCTTAAATGGTATAAATACCGTGCCTTCCTCGTACACCAAGCGCACTAGCCATCCAAATGGCCAGGCTATGCGGGCCGCAAGTTCGTCTGCTTCATAGGCAGGGGTTTCAGTGACGCGAGAACGCAGAGCTGTGGCTCCGATCGGAAAGATAGAAGGTAGACTTCAACGCAGCCAACGTTGGTGTCTACCTCATATTCTTCCAAGCGAAGTCAATCAGAAATTGGCGTTTTGAAGTGACCGCTAACTACGCGCAAAAAGCAGACGGTACTTGCGCTTGATATAGCCAATGAAACTTGAGGAACGCCGGGCGTGGCTTATTGTGTCCAAGTTTCTTTCTTCGCGAGTCGAATTTACTCCTTCTTATCTGCTAAGACAGGAATTTTATTGACTGAAATGGGCCAGCTGAGAAACGTTTCCCTGGCATAAATGTTGAGGTTAGGTAAATTACGCGGATCACTTCCAGACAACTTTCGGTGTTATTAAAGAAATTTCTATGTTCAATCATTTGCTTCAAATGTTGAGCGCGAGAGAAAAGAAAAGCAATCACATCTTCCTAGTAATCCCTTTTTTTAAAGCAAAGAAAAATGTAGAAGGAATAAAAAGCGCAAAAATGTTGATGGAGGAGTACGCTGTTTTAATACATTTTAAACGTGACCAAGAAACTAGCGCAACTACACACCCTGTTGCAGAAAACTAAACTTGCGGTTTTATTTGCCACATTGAAGGACTAATTTTGTTTTTCGCTCTCAAAGATATTTATCTTTTAAATATTGTTTGAAGAAATTATTTTTAATATAAATGTCTAATACTCCAGACAATAGTTATTAAAGAGATTGCTCGCAAAACTCCCTGCCTTGAGAAATACTTAAATAAAAATATGTTTAAAGTTGGCCGATTGAAAACATTAGTAAGGTCATTATATTCGTCTCCATCAAAATTATGATTTTTCCCCGCTAGCTTTTATTACTGACGCTACGTTTAACACGAAAGTTTGAGCCTGCAGGGCTGCGTTCGCTTTAACAGTAATAAATTAAAAACAGCCTGCTGTTGTTCCGATAGTATAAGCCACTGCATCGGGGTGCTCCGCTCAATCGCGTAGCATTTCTGCACTACGTTGAGCGGAAAAGGCTTGGTTTTTTTTTTTTTTTCCGGAAAATTAAACGAAACCCATTTTAATCCGATGAATATATTATCAATCATATAATTACATTAGATAGTAAATAACTGTTCGAGCCACGTTCAACCGTTTGAACACATTACCATATAACGAAAAACAATCGAGCAGGTGTCTTGTCTTGGGCGTTTTCTTTAAACACTGAACCGCGTGACGTAGCGTCCTCCAATATGACGCATAATATAGGGTGTGTGGAGCTAAAAAAAAACAAATAATTGCTGACGTTCTTGGAGGAACAGGCTTTTTGTATCAGGTTCTTCTGTCCTTCAAGAAAATGGGAGGGGGGTTGTATACTGGCTAGGTATGAAGATTTATCAATAACCGTGCGCGTGAGCACGCAGTTTCTACGCGAGCTAGCCTTTGTGACCCTCTCGTTCTTCACTCTCGTAGATGCTCACGTTTACCTGTGATGCATGATGTTAAAAGTTTTCCTACATATAAAGATAAAACAAGCAGAAAACTGTATGAGGCAATCGAAATTCGGGTGAAGGGTAAAAATTGTGTGAGTGAGGCATCAATCGCCCTTTCAAACAAAGGGTTTGATTTTATCAAAAGTTCTGCGCTCCAATGTCATGATGACTAGACTGGCCGATGAGATTTATACATAGTACGAGTTATTTCAAATGAACTACAGTTGAGAGTGCTCAATGTGTTTGTCTTACTTGACAGCCGCACTTGTGACACTCGTCCCATTGAGCGAAAAAGCGGCGTATATGGCCATAAAATACGATTGAGCGGCACACGGCGCTCAATCGTATGCTCAAGTACGATGCTGCCCTTGGCGTCGTCCTTGAGGTCGTCCTAGAGGCCGCCCTTGACCTCTAGGACGACTTTTTTGGTCCCATCACGAGAAAAAGCGGGGTGGTTGTTTCCGAACAATGGCCATAAATATACGTCATCAAGCGCGCGCTGCCTACGCTCACGCTCACGCTCAAGTGTAGGAACGTGACGTCACGGCCGGAGAGCCATGTACTAAAGGTGCGCTTCGCACTTCATTAATGCTCGTTGTGTGCGTCGTGCGATGGACCGTGAGGCGACCGCGTCTACATCTACGGCCTCGACATCGGACGCTGCGTCTCCATCTACGGTGGCTTTCGCAAGCAAACGTAGCCGCCTACGCAAATTCGCCACAGCTTCCTTAAGTGTTCTTCTCTAGAAATAATTCTCAACGTCGTCCTAGACGACTTTCCAGAGGTCGTCCTCTAGGCGTCGATCTTTACGTCGTCCTAGACGTCGTCCTTATGGTCTTTCTAGACGTTTTGCTTGGGGTCGTCCTAAAGGTCGTCCTCTACGTCGTTCTTGACGCCGTCCTCCAGCACTTCATCCACGACATCGTCCTAAGCGCCGTCCTTGGCGTCGCTCACGACGTCGTGTTGGTGGTCGTGCTAGGCACCGTACTTGGCGGCGACCTCCAGGACGTCGTATACGTAAGCCGTTTGGAGTGTCCTCCTGTAATTTTTATTACTTTTGGGAGTATCCTATTTAAAATTGGTTGTTATTTTTGTTTTTGTTTTTGAGGAGACGTAGGAAGTGGCGAGCACGTTAATAAAAAACTAGCCCACGAGCGCTAAGTCCTGTAATTCCCAAAATTTACTTTTCCGGGATCGACATGCCTTCCTGATCAATTTGGTAAGAATGAAGAGCGCCTATATTTTTATCTTTAAATACAGTCTGCCGAAGGTATAGTGGGCGCTTCTTTTGAGTACCTGATCCACTACCCTTGCTCATAAATCTGTGAACGACTAGAAACCCAGAAAATTGAGAATCGTTGAATTATTTCATAAATCGTAAGGCATTGGTGGTTGGCACTTAGCTCCCGCAAGTGCCGAAGATACGCTCCCAGCTTCCCTGCAGGGCTGACCGAGCAGTTAATAAATTTTAGCAAGCAATGTTCCGAAAGTTTTTTTTTCTTCTTTTTTTACGCTTCCTTTGGCGCGACGCCTCCCTCTGTAATGCACATTGAGTGTTTTGACTTGGCAGCTTTAGTATTCAAAGTTTCTTTCCCAGATCACCGTGAGACTGCAATTATACGTGCCGTGATTGCCCAGCGTTGTACGGAGGTGCGCCCGTAGGCGCGCCGTGTTTTCGAGCTTGTCTGGGGCCAGGGGCTTCCCCAGAAATTGAAATTATGGAAGGGGTGTGTTTCAAATTTAAGGGGAGGGGGGGGGGGGGGGGGGAAGGAGCGCACTGAAAATAGAGGAGTCGCTGCGAATTAAGGGGGTGTCTTCAAAAAAAAACAAGGGGGGAGGGGGGTGTGTACACTCATCGGGGGTGCGTATGGAAATCACTGTCTGTTGCGGCTTCTGTCGGTATCACATCGAAGCAGGCTAGCACAATCTGTCAAAGCCGTCGTCCCTATATCATCTAGTCTGGTCGGCATTTGTTGCGTCTCTCGCTTCTAGATAGTCTAAATAACTTCATTTGTGGCATTTGATCGTGCCGGTATGGATTGGTCACTTAAAAGAACGAAACACTGTCATTTCTAGAACGTAGCTCTCATGAAATTGATCTCCAATAAACCAGGCTTAGTCGCGCGCCCACTCAAACACGAGGTAAACACATGAGAAACGGAAGTATATATGTCCTCTTCTCATGGTGGACAGACGTGGCCTGCACACCCTGTATAGGGAGCTTTATTGGACCGTCTTTTTCCCCCAGCTAAGCCCTCCACATCGAAGATTCTACTGTGCTTGCGTGCCGCTTTCCTTATCTGCATAATTGAGGATCTCGTGCTGGTTTGTGGGGAGAGCTGCGAGACAGTGAAAGAGATCTAGGAAACTTTTGAATGCGTTTTCCTAAGCGTATAAATTTTGAACAGCTGTGGAGGACGTCTCTGCCAAGTGTGATTTTGTGTGGTGTGTAGAAATATGTGGTCTATACGCAGCAGAGTATTCAACAGTGTGTACATCACATTAACTGTGGCATTAGTTTATAAGCAGGACACCACAAGGTACCAAAGATTTATTTTTTAGGATACGCCATTATTACATTGAAGAAACCTGTCAAACATGAAGCGCAGGGGCTTCTGCAGTCTATATGTAATTTCTGTCGCGATGCCAAGATATGAGCACATTTGGCAGCTTTCAAATCTGTGTTCTCTCTTTTGTGAAAACGCGAAAATGTAAAGGTGCGAAAATATGAAGTACCGAGTTTATAATAACTCACCGGGGATCACTTAAGTTCCACACCCGTGGCACATGGCTCCCAGTAGATTCAGCCTTCTACCGGAAAGCCGTGCAGCTACGTGTTTTCGCAGCTGCACGCCTTTCCGGAAGCACGAACACTTAATGGCATGAGCGTCGGTTGACGGAGATATCCATTTCTCACATGTTACCAGATGCTACAATGCTAGCGCCGAGGGTTCTGATATCGCTGATCTTTTTGGAAGCGAAATATGCAACTTCAACGCAACAGCCAATGAGGTGGTGTGGAGGACCCCCCCTGAGTGAGTACACAAAATACCTAAAGGTTTCAGCCTGATTGTTTGAATTACCTTCAACTGAATTTTGTGCTTAACCACACTTGTGTTTCGCGGTAACAATAATATGCGTCTATTACAACTGCCACTGAGTCAGAAAAGCTTTCAGATGAGGACAATACAAAATACCTCATAAGTTTAAGGGTTTTTAAAGCGGCAGCTTCACAAGCCCACCCACACTCAAATTCAGAACATCAGATTCATCATGACCAGCAACACCTCGGCTTCCACAAACTCCTGTAAGGTCATCCTCTATGGTGCCGACACTCTCAACACCTCCGATCAGCTAATCGACCACGTCCAGTCCAAAGTTCCTGTCATCACCTCTCAAACGATAGGAAAAACCGAGACGTCACTCATCACCTTGCAAGACGTGCCTTTCACAATTTACTAACGCCGCCTTGAATTGAGCTGCTACCCCCCCCCCCCCAAACCAGATCCCAGCACTGTTAAACCGGTCGCCAACTCGGTCACCGCACAGAAGTGTGCCCCAAGAGGGGCAAGCTAAGCTCACCGAGTGCGACATCTGCTACTAAGGAAACATCACATCGGACAGCCCTCACAACTGCGTCCCCTACTGCATGAAACATAGAAAGGACCACTCCTCAAAAGACCCAAACTGTCAGATCAAGAAGCAGGCCAACCCGCAGGCCACATTCACGGCCAGCATAAGGAGAGTCCAGCACTGCTCTGAAGCTCACTGCAAACAGCGCAACCCTGCTCCACCACTGATAACCAAGGATGGGGAAATCTTACTTTCCTCACTCTTCAACCCAACACCACCTTCACTCGGGACGCCCAATAGCAACACCAGACGCGAAACTCACCACCGACCATCCACCTCACCAGGCTTAACCCAGCAACCGCGTAAAGCCCGAAGTCTCAGCCGTAACAACAAGGCGAGAAAGGTACTCCGCCTCCCCCCCCCCCCCCACCCTCCTCTCCCCCACTCCCAATACCGAACCAAACCCACATCACATCCCATAACTGCCTCTGACACTTCCAAACAGGCACTTCTGGCCCTCAAGCGCGCCCCAACTGCCGCCAACACAGTTCACGTCATAAAGGCAGGCGTCGCTAACCGGTCAACCCCAGATGACCGACGAATAAACATCACAACTCCCTCTTTTCTATCCACCAATTCCAGGCCCCCGTCGACCTCAACCAAATTATGATCTTTTTACAAGGCGCAATAGAGCGCCTTACGGCTCTTGAACGGGGCATCTTAGACCTCAAAACGCAACACACACGACCCCTATTACGATGAAAGCAATATCCCCCGTCAAAACAACGGAACGACAACTCCTCAGCCGATGGCGAAAATGGTGCCTATGAAATTCATGCACATGCTCCAGTGAAACTGTCGGAGCCTACAGCGCAAAGGAGCCAGTCTCACAGATTACCTGAACACGCTCGACCGCAAACCTGATGCCATCCTACAACAGGACACGCAAGACAGCCACAACCTCCCACAGTACACCTCCTAAACCCAACCAGCAACCCACAAACTGACCGCAAGCAAAACACTTAAACCTCCACCCTTGTTACAACCTATGTATCGATCCAACGCCACACGAAACACAACAAATATCAACACTGCCTACCAAGAGCATCTCATAGCCACTCTTCAACCACAAAACTGCACCAATTCCATCACCATCGTGAAGGCGTTTTTGCGACCGGGCAGCAAGATTACAAATCCAACGCCCTCGTTTACCATACTCGTAGCAGACAACGCGGATCAAGACATCCTTCTCCTCGCAAAACTCAACAGCCCAAATATCTATTGGGGTTTCTCCAACACTCACTACAATTGACGTCTGCTCGAACAAGCAAATCTACAAACCTCTATGTCCCTTCTCAACGACACTACACAATCAACCCGCACCAATAGCACTGTTCAACACTATACCAATCTTGACGTATCATTCCATCACGGGCAACTTGTCCCTGAATGGTCGGCATGTGACGAAGACTTAGGCAGTGGTCATCGCCCTATCCACCATGAGGCTCACCACCACTGTTAAACAGAAATTACGTCGCAACACTGCTCGCATCACGAACTGGGAACACCTCCGTTGCTATACCTCCAACAACCCTACACTCTTAAAAAAAGGGTCAGTAGAGTCCTCCCTAAAGGGAGGAACACTCTTGTCACATATGTTCCTTCAGGAAGGGGGAAACGTTCGTCCCTAAAGCAGGGGAGCAAAAGTTCCTCCGTCGACTGCCTCTCATTATGGCGGCCACGAATTGAGCAAATCGAGCTCGATAAGGCTTAACAAGAACACTAAGTCTATTGTACGAAGCGAGAGGAGCAGCACATAAAAACGTAACACGAGCTTTCCGCGAGCTGTATTTATTTCCGAAGTTTCTTTACCCCTGCAGGTAAAGAAACTTACGTTTCGAAAGCATGCAGTCAATCAGTCTTCTCATCGTCAGCACCGCGATGTTCAACGGAGACAACCGGCACCCAGTTCGCGCACTTTATGTCTTACGTTTGCTATTCCTCGAGCCACAATTCCTTTGTCAACCGTTGCGTCAACCGCACATCGCGGAGGAGTGAAAATCATTCGCCCGCAAAACCAAAAGCCGCTCTCAAAAAAAAGCAAATCCGAAGCAACCTTTTGGCTTACCTCAGCACGGTAGCACGAAATTATGGCGTAGCCGCGTAGCGTAAAAGGATGTTAAATCGCTTGCCACCAGATGGCAGGGTCAAGCAGAGTAATCGCAAGTAGCTAGGCTAGGTGGCGCTAGGTACCGCCCAATTCAAGTTTTACAAAAAAATATTTCTATTTCCTTACGCCACAATTGCGTTTCTTTTATTCGGGAATCTCTAACACACGTAGACACGTTACGCACACCACAAGCACCAGGTGAACATATATTGAGCGTATACACAAGCATCGCACATACAAACATCAATACAACAGCACACTACTGACACTACCCCGATCATTAGTCCCAAGCCCCGCGGTTCCGTCTTTTATACTGGTCGTTTTGAAAGTACGGAATTTTTCGGCGACTCCCTAAGCAATAAAAAATGTTCCGAACATGTTCACTTTTTTCCAGCAATGTCATACATCTGAGACTATTTATAATGGCTCAGGGGATGAATCTCTTATTAAAAAGAAAACGCTCGATCATGCCGTAATTACTTGAAAGCCAATAAATTGAGCCGCTTCAATGTGGTTCCAAGCCATCAGTTTGTTTTCCCGCACGGCCCTTCGTAGCCTTCGTAGCCAGTATTTATATTGTAGTGTTTGTTTTTCTATTTGTGCTGTTCGCGCACCGCTGCAATTGCCGTCTTGAATTAATCTTTGTAGAGCGGATATTCACTCAGCCGGAAGTGAGGCTTCACGGGCAGAGAAATCGCTTTTCGATAAACTTGAATGCAGTCAAAACCGCGACTTGCGGCAACTGTCTAGTGTACGGAGCTACGCCGTTGCGAGCTCGAAAACTTCTAGCGCTCATCCCAGCGCGCCACTTGGAGGGCAGTTTCTACAGGAACCGTAATATATTTAAACAGTAAAATAAAGGATAGCGTTTTTTTTTTTATTTAACTGTTTTTTTATGCTAAACTTCCATTGTAAATATGCGTACTTTCTGTCATACTTTCGTACTGTTCAGTCTTTTCGCTAGAGCGCAATCGCTCTTGGGGACCGACTGTCACATTGGCCACTGTACGATAGGAGCTTACCGTTCAGACCAGCGTTCCAACATGACTATCCACACGTCGATCGACTGCACCTTATCCCTCAAGTGGTTTTAAACTCTTTAATGTAATGCGGGATGTCATCCTGCGACACCCCGCCCCCTCCGATCACCGCCCGACCAGCGGCATCAATACCCGACCAGTTTACGTCATCTCATCTTGTTACACCACTGATACGCGAACACAGGGTCACATCGGCGATAATTCCAGTCTTCTGTTCACAACCCACAACACTACAATCACGATGTCGCTCACACGCAGAAATACAGAACCACGTTGACGACGTTGCTGACACGCAGATATACAGAATCACGTTGAACGCCGGTTGGCACTCGGCACGGGACAACAGAACCGAACTCAGCACGGAAGGCACCCAGGCAGCCGGCAGGAAAACCTGCCTGCCTTGGACGCAGTTCCCGCAATTTTCATAACGTCGAAATCGTCGACACAGCCCCTCGTGGTTTCGCTGCTGTAGTTCCGCGTGTGTCCCGCAAATCGGAGACGGCCGTCTTACCCAGTGTATGTAGCGCTGCTGGCACTGCTCTGGAACTTAGCTCTTTCTAGCGGCTTCGTTAGCTCGTTTGATAAAATTAGTGGTAAAAACGTCAATGCAACCGAAATGTTCTGCACGTTTGGACTAGAAGACGGAAATACAGGCGGCCTTCGCTGCCGCTGAAGCTCATTCAACTCAACATTAATTTATTAAACAATGTGCGCGATGTGCTCGAAAAACGAAACTGAAAGAATATGAGTCGGGAGGGCGAAAGCTTTCTCCGGTCTGCCTGGAGAAGGAGGAAAACGTCTCGGTGAATAATAAGGACTTTAATTTTCCGTTCATCGGTCTGGGTTTGTTTATAAATGTTTTGGTAAATGAAATAAAAAAATTAAAAAAACTGCACGAAAAAAAAAACGCTCCTCTGGGATCGAACCTTTGACCACTTGGACAGTAGCGCGATATTTTACCCCTGCGCCAACTGAACAAGGAGGAACTCGCCCTCCTCCTTTCATCTGAACTGCCGTTCCTCCCTTCTCTGGGCAACTTGTCCGCAACAAGGAGGAACAGTCGCTGTTGCTACCTTTCTCCTCCTTTTTTTCTGAGAGTGTAGTTCTCCGGAACTCGACAACAGCGAATGGGCAAACAATCTTCTCCGGGCCCAGTGCAGATCCACCAAAGCTCCAATCACAACCGCCATCTCGTATATCGACTCCCATCCTCTCAACCGATCAAAAACAAGACATAAGCTAGCAACAGTGTGAAAGAAAGCCAAACATATGAAAGACCCAAGCCCAAAATTCACGTCATCACCAAATAAGTCGACACCTACGCACAACAACTCACTATTGAAAACTGGCTCCAACTCAGTGATTGTCTCAACGGTCAACTAGTCACTAAAAAGTGGCGCGCAATCTACACACACCCTCACACCCACCTGACCCTCTTACACCCTCACGCGCATCATTCTCGCCAAGAAAATTACGCCAGTTTAACTCGAGCAAAAATTCCGCCACAGATTCTTCCCTCCACTAACCGACCGACAACACACAGAAAAACCTCCACCCCTCCTCTCGAGCCATCTCACTTGGACACCTCTTTCCCACTCAACGAACTAAAGCGGGCACTTTACTCCCTCCAACAAAACACATCACTCAGCAAAAGTTAATTACATATAAGCTACTGCGCA